TCATTCCAACCAGATGATTACTGTGGTTTTGCACTAGTATTTCAGTATCTTGTCTTGAGTCTTTTTGGTATTTTGTGTTTTTACAGGTATTACCTGAAGAACAACATGGAAACAGAAACACTTTGTTCAGATGAAGATGCTCAAGAGTTGCTAAGGGAAAGCCAAATTTCCCTGCTACAGCTCAGTACTGTCGAGGTGGCCACACAGCTTTCCATGAGAAACTTTGAGCTATTCCGTAATATTGAACCCACAGAATATATAGATGACTTGTTTAAACTGAAATCAAAAACAGGTTGCACTAATCTAAAGAAGTTTGAAGAAGTGATAAATCAAGAGACTTTCTGGGTAGCTTCTGAGATTCTAAGAGAAACCAACCAGCTAAAAAGGATGAAGATCATTAAGCATTTCATTAAGATAGCACTACACTGCAGAGAATGCAAGAACTTCAACTCCATGTTTGCCATCATCAGGTAGCTGAGACTTCTTTTCACCTAGAATTAAAATTATTAAGGATAATATATCACTCTACTAAATTACATTAAACAGAGTAAACTAATTACCTGAAAAGAGCATTAAACTGAGTGAACTGATTAACAGTGCTCATGTCAGCACCTGCCAATAAGGAGGGTATGTTCAGTCATCTGAGCTCGGCATGGAAGTGTTTGCTGAAGTATTATATGGAGTGCCAGCATTTCTGTACCTAGTGTTCAAGAGGCTCTGGCTAGCAGTGGTGGTGAACCTGGCACTAGAGAAATTACTGCAATGTTTAACAAGCAAAAGGAACAGCAGTTATATGAGGAAAAAAAAGTGTTGTCACAAATGAATCGGTTCCATTCCCAGAGGGAGCTTGTTGCTGCACAGAGTTCCCAGTGCTGGGAATTGAGCTATAGTGTGTTCACTGCTGTTTTCATTGCTGGTTTCTTAGGGGCAAGAGAGATCCTAATGAGAATGTGCCCTCGTGTGCTGCTGGGTAGCACATGCATCTGGAGAGAGTAATCAGAGCAGTGAAGACAGTGCTCTGGGTAGGGTTTAGTGAAGTTACTGCAGATGAAACAGCCAACTCCCAACAGCTGGATTAAACTCTGTGCAAAATGCCACAGATGAAGGTCTCTTAATAAGAACAGAAATGTTTCAAAAGTCTCAAACCTCTGTTCTGGAATGACAAACAGGAAACTCCAGTGCACATGTTTAAGCACATTTTTTTAAAAAAGATCATATTTCCTGTGGAGTGTCCCAAATTATAAAGAACAAAGCAAACCCCACGGATGTTGCCTGTTATGAAAAACCTTGGGCAAGTTGCATATAAAAATGGCAACCTTATCAGCTTTTCTGACAAAAGCCCGATTAAGCAGATTGAATCTGTCACTTTTTTTTTCCTGAAGGACACTGTTCTTGAGTACCATCTGATCAGATGTGGCAGCAAACTCCAGGGATCCACGTTAATAACCAGTATTTGAGACATGAAAATCTGGAGATGTAGCTCAGCTTTTCCAGCTGACCTCAGTGAGAAATAAAAGCAGCTTCTCTGCCAGCAGGGACTTGGATGGTGGAAAGATGTCTAAGACTAAATGCAAACCAGGCTGGCCTCTGTGGAAGGTGCCAACACCACTAGTGGGAATGACCTGTGCTTTTTTGGTGCCAGCTACTGCTTCCGAATAGCCTCAGATATTTAGAGTCTGTTGTAACTATTGGATCTAGAAACCGCATAGATTCTTTTAGGAGTTTTTGGTTGTTTCTTTCTATTGTTTGTGATTTTTTTTTTTTGCACTTTTTGTTTGTTGCTTCAAGTGGCCTGAATTTGGCACCGGTTGCACGGCTCCGAACTACCTGGGAAAAACTTCCAAGCAAGTATGAGAAGCTTTTCCAAGATCTACAGGACTTGTTTGATCCATCTAGGAATATGGCAAAATATCGTAATGTCCTTAACAGCCAAAACCTACAGCCCCCTATTATTCCTCTGTTTCCTGTTATCAAAAAAGACCTTACATTCCTTCATGAAGGTAAAAGCAAAATGACTTTGCTTTTATTTTTTAGTATATATCTTTTTTTTTTTAACTAGCTAAGGAAAATTAACATTGCAGCCAAATAACTGATGTTGTTATTTGTTGATTCTAGGGAATGATTCAAAAGTGGAGGGCTTGGTCAATTTTGAGAAGCTGAGAATGATTGCAAAAGAAATTCGCCATGTTGGTCGTATGGCATCTGTTAACATGGATCCTGCTTTGATGTTCAGGACCAGGTAAGTTTGGAACACATCCATTCAAACGAATGCCTGTGCACATGTTTGGAGAAAAGAAGGATTTCCCCCGGAGAGAGGATCACCAGTCGTATGTGTTCAGTAAGAAGTCTGGTGTGCGGAAAACTGATCCGTTTTTCAGTCTCAGAAAGTTTGTTGCTCTTTAGCAGTTAACCAGAGTTACGCATTTGTATGTACTGAAGCCAGTTTAAAGAATGGAGAATCGTTCATTTTCATGCTTACGTATAAAAAATGCCTTAAATTATTCCTTAGCTGCCAGATACCTCATTGCAAAAATAAGGTTCCACGTCTGGGAGGGAAGGAGGGAGGAGGAGGGCCTGTTTGAACACGTGTGTGTTAGCCTGCCCGAGTCCCTGCTGTGTGCCAGCCTGCCTGTTCTGATCCAGCAGAAGTGGGGATATGTGCTGCTATGTAAGTCCGTGTTTCTGGAAAACGTGGAGGGAATGTGTTTGGCTTCATGCCAGAGCCAGATTAATACATACTCTTTTTCTTAATTTGAACTAGAAGAGTTTGTAGTGCGTGAATCAAGGCTCTTTGGGAATGTTTGTGGGCTTCTAGAACTGCTTGCCCTGAGGTCCAGTCTTTCTTTCTGAGCTTGTGATCTTTCTCTGTCTCTTCCTAAACCCATGCTTTACTCTTCCTGGCTCTCACTTGCAGGAAGAAGAAATGGAGGAGCTTGGGGTAAGTGGCTGGAGACAACACGCACAGAAATTCATTCTTCCCTTCCAATTTGCATTGTTTTCTACTCTCTATCTTTAATTTTCTGATGCTTTGACATTTTCATTTTTTGTTAACCTTTTTTTTTTTGAATCTGACAATACATGTTAATCCAGGATTGCTTTTGCTTTTGAAATTAAAACACAAAAACTTAAATATTTATGGGTGATTATAAATAGGAATGGGTGTGAGTACACGCCCCCTCCCCATTTAAATTGCCAAAGGAAGCAACTTTCAGTAAAAAGGAAGTTGTAAAAACGGAAAAAATGCCGTTAACTTTCTTATGACTCATGAGAAATTATGAGTTTCAATTACAAATATTAAAAGTTAGAGTATCTGCTAAACTAACTTCATATTTTACACTACAGCTCAGCCATCATTTCTGCCTTAGCAGTTTGGGAACAATGCAGGCTTTTCCCATGGACATACATACCCTGGAATGTGCATGGCATTTATGTCATCATCAACTTGCCGATCGTTTTGTTTAACAAGGAACTCTCTGTATTCAGCTCAGGAACGTAGAAGGGAGTTTTATTAAGTAAAGCTGAGCTGTGCATTTTGTACATGGTCTGACGAGAAAATACGTGGAAGACATTTGGGAAGTTTTCTAAGTTTATATTTAAATTTCAGCCTCAGCTCTAGCCTTCTGTCAGCATTGCCTTGCTGCATGAGCCTTTCCTAACGCTCCCATCTCCTCCGTAGCTGGCTCCCTGGGGAGCTGGCTTGAATGCTTTCCGAGCTGCCTGGAGTGACACTGCCTCGTTGGGGCGGAATACGTTGAATATTTGTGTCATTAAAATAGTGCCTGTAACCCAGCAAAACGATTTCCTGGCCCTCATCCTTCTATCTTTTTATAGCTGTTTGAGTAACTGGAATGAGGCATGTGAGCTTTGACCATAGACTGACATTCATGCAACCTTCTGCATGTTTCCAGACCATGGAGCGATGCAGAGGGCCTGGCCTAAGTGTCGTTCTCCCCTCTTGCCCCCGGGGCCTCCCCTGCAGGTCCCTGAGCCAAGGCAGCAGCAACGCGGCCGTGCTGGACGTGGCGCAGGCGGGCGGCCACAAGAAGCGCGTCCGCCGCAGCTCCTTCCTCAACGCCAAGAAGCTCTACGAGGACGCGCAGATGGCTCGCAAGGTGAAGCAGTACCTCTCCAACCTGGACCTGGAGATGGACGAGGAGAGCCTGCAGACGCTGTCCCTGCAGTGCGAGCCCGCCACCAACACGCGTGAGCGCCGCCGTGGGCTTGGGGGAGAGCGGGAACGTTCCCTTCCAAGGGGGGAGTGGGAACAGTGACTAGACCATGAGCTGCAGAATGTGTCTGAGCAGCTGCAAGTGCGAAACAGCTGTAAATGTGCAGGGCATCATCTCCAAAGTCCACAGCGTAGACCTGTGTCAGAGATGAGCCTTTTTGGACAATGTGGCACTGAAGGGCACAAAGGTTCCTTTGAGGGCTCTGGAGGAGCTGGATGTTCCTCTCAGCCTTGAGAAGGGAACAAGGATATTTTTCTGTCCAGGCATTTCAGAGAGCTGATGGAGGGTTCTCTCTGGGTGCAGGAGGAACCTTGCATTGAAAGTAATTTTGGTTTGAGAGAATGCTGTGTCTTATGCCCTCCCCTTCCTTCAAGGTGGCAAAATTCAATAATTATATGTTGTAAATCAAATGTAGTCCTTACAGTAGCTCAGTGTAATTCCCAGTCACATTTCTGATAACTATATCGATAGTTGTTTTATGGGAACTCTGTTTTGATAAAGACAGCCTAAAGACAGTCTAAAGACAGACCTTTGATAATTTAAATAATCCGAGTGAAAGTTAAATCTCTCCGTCTTTTCCTCTTCTCCACTTGCTTCTAAAGGAATCCTACTGCATTCAACATGTCACTGTTTGAGGACCCCTTAATCATCAGTCAGAGGGCTTTGCATTTCCCACAGTATTTATAGCTAGCAGTCATTCCTTGTTCTCCCCCATTTTCTCCCGTAGTACCAAAAAACCCCGGAGACAAACGATCTGGAAAATCCGAAACGTCGCCGGTGGCTCCCCGGGCAGGACTCCAGCAGAAGGTGCAGCAGCAGCAGCAGCATAAAGTGAACCAAGCGCTGCAGGTCCCTGCTGTATCTCTCTACCCTTCCCGCAAGAAGGTGCCGGTGAAAGACCTCCCTCCGTTTGGTGAGTGCAGCAAACAACCGTTTGGCCCAGAACAACCTCTGGGGTTCTAGCAAACAGCAGTAATGTGTGCCCGAAAATCCTTTCCTCTAGAGATAGTCAGGGAGAAAAGTCCTAGGAAAGCATGCTCTTAATTTAATCAATATAATTATTTATCTTTGGCTGACATCTGGAAGACGGGCACTTTTCTGACTGTTTTCCAGAGGAAATTAGTGACTTGAAGTTTGTTTTGTGTGACCCATATGAGATACCTCAGACACCAGTGTTTTTTCCCCAAGAGCTGAGTGATCAGTATGAGGTTCAGGCCTGTGTAAATGAGTCACCTTGATAAGAGACAGACCCCAAGATTGGCTTCAAGAATTGTCCCTCTGACTTCCCCTAACTAGTTAAATAATAACTTATTATTTATTTCTATGCCAACGTTTCATGCAACTGTGATAGGTCCTGGACAATAGCAATTTGCTGTAATTCAGTTTGGCTTCCTAATCTAGATCTGAGCTGTATAC